AATGGAGATTTTGAGGCCTACACGTGAGTAGAGATCCAATTCCAACTCGAATTTGTCAAGGCCTTTCCCTCCTCTCCAAAAGCAACTTGGATCCTGGGGAAAGGAAAGCCGGGGCTTTGGGCACAGTGTGTGAGTTCAGCACCAGGCCAGTAGGCTGGGAGCCCTTCCAGGTAGGTAGCCTGTGATCGAGCCTGCCCAAGGTGTCCTGGCAGTGGGCTGGAAGGACAGGACCAAGAGGCCAGGCCAGCAGACCAAGATCTTAGCCACCTTGTCAGGCCTAGCCCACAGCTAACCTGCTGCAGGACAGACACCACTGATGAGGAAGAAAGACAAATAATTCCCTGACAGGCTTTTTTTTTTTTTTCCCTGCAGGAAAATTTGTGATCCAGGCCTCACTTCCTTTGAGCCTGAAGCCCTTGGTAACCTCGTGGAGGGAATGGATTTCCATAAGTTTTACTTTGAGAATCGTGAGTGGGTTCGTGCTGCTGATATACTCCTGCCTGCCCCTTTACCTCCTTTGCCTCAGTCCCTGCTCACCCCCTCCTCTTCCCCATTGCCTGTTTTTCCCTCATTTGACCTGCCCGCCGCACCCTGGTCTGTGTGCTTGCCTCCTTGTGCTCTGAAAATGGTCTTAAATGGCGCCTTTGAAGGCCCTGCCCCAGAACCCCACGTGCCCCTTTGCTCTGCAGCTGCCTTGTGGCAGCACTGGTTGCCACAGTCAGGGTCACTGCATTTTTGTTAAGCCTCGTCTCTTTCCAAGATGATTGGAAACCATTTGAGATGAGGTCGAGATGATCTCAGCAGATAATAATGAAGCTCTGTGTCTACAGATGTCACAACAGAGGAAATTAAAGCCAGAATAAGAATGTGCAAGCAAGCAACAGGGCACTGTTGGTGACTTGTGAGATCGGAAGTTATGGCTAGGGTCTTCCTGAATATCGAGGGACTGGGGAGTGTACACTGGACAGTTCATGGAAGTCCCAGGGGATAAGAAACTGAATATTCACCTCCTTTTTCTGTCCACTCTCTAACACCCTCCCTACCCCTTATTTTTTTCTTTTCCTTTCCACTTTATCCTGGGCTTTCCCCATTCTGCCCTAGATTTTATTTTGTCACTGTTTTCTCTACTAACTACATCTTCTCCATGTCTCATCTGCAAATGTAAACCCTAGGCCATCTAAGTAATTCTATTATCCAGAAGCAATTCCAGGTTTTATAGAAGCTCTAGGGAAGGTTTCCTGTAGCCCCTATCTACCATTTGAATTGAACTAAGATGTGAATCTCAATAAAAGTAACACAATTCACAGTGTTTCCTGATAATGGCAATCTTTTGACTTTCCCCCAGAGGTTCCTGAGAGCCTTAGGAATACACTAAGCTTGGTGCTTTGATGATTCTGTTTTAACTTTGGACTTTCTTTTTTTTTTAAAATCACAGATCAATTTTGAATATTGTAAGTTGTTGATTATGCTCTAGAGCCCTAATTAGGGGCAAGCTAACACTTATAAAACCTAAAATCAGCCTAGCAGAGTAGAAAGATCATAAGCTTCAGTAAGATGGCCCTGAGCTCAAATGTTGTATAATTTGGGGAAGTTACTTAACCTCCTTGAGCTTGTCTCCTTGTCTTATAATGAAGAAAATAGTATCAACCAAAGACTACAGCTCATGCATGTAAGACCTCCAGCTCAATGTCTGATTAAAAGAGTATCTGCTGTTATCATTGTTCCCCACCATTCCCTTCCTTTTGGATAACTGAGACTAATGTGATGAGATTTCTTGGCCTCTGGAAGGTGTTGGGGGGGGGGGCGGCCTTGGAGAGTCCCAGAATGGCTGCTGGAGTGAGGGTGAGACTTGGAAGTGCAGGCTGGGAGGAAAATGTTGGGTACTGAGGCCTGACGCCCTCCTACCTACCCCAACCCGCCCTGCCCCCTGCAGTCTTATCCAAGAACAGCAAGCCCATTCATACCACCATCCTGAACCCACACGTCCACGTGATCGGAGAGGACGCAGCTTGCATCGCCTATATCCGCCTCACCCAATACATCGATGGGCAGGGCCGGCCTCGAACCAGCCAGTCGGAAGAGACCCGGGTCTGGCACCGCCGGGATGGCAAGTGGCTCAATGTCCACTATCACTGCTCAGGGGCCCCTGCTGCACCGCTGCAGTGAGCTCAGCCACAGGTGCACCTGGTGGGAGCATGGGGAGGGGCTGGGACAGGTGGGGTGAGAGGAGAGTTGGCATTGGGGGAGGAGGTATGGGCCACCCTAGGGGAACAGCAAGGGCTAGGCTGTGGTTACAGCAGGTTATGGCCTTAAATCAGACTTGGGTCTCGCTCCAGGAATCCAAATTGGGTTTCTTCCTTTCCCTAAGCCTCGGTTTTCTCAGCTGTCAAAAAGAGGGAAAGGATGGTGCCTATCTCATTAGTCCTGAGAATTAAATAAGGTACTTATACGTAAAGCATTTAGTAGGTACTCAGCAAATGTGAGGCATTGTTATACTTGAATACTAGCTTCTCCCCCATTCCCCACCTTCCCAGGCAGAGTTGGCCATGTGTGTAGTGTGTCTAAGTCCCCGGAACTCATCTGTGTGTTTGTCCTCTGTTCTGTTACCATGTCTGTCCTGTTTGACAGGGGCATTAGGAGATCCCAACTGGAGGTCGAACCTTTGCAGCCAGTGGCTCTGGAGGGCCTGAGTGACAGCGAGCGGCAGTCCTGTTCGTTTGAGGTTTAAAACAATTAAATTACAAAGCGGCAGCAGCCAATGCACGCCCCTGCATGCAGCCCTCCCGCCCGCCCTTTGTGTCTGTCTCTGCTGTACTGAGGTGTTTTTTACATTTAAGGAAAAAAAAAGAAAAAAGATTGTTTAAAAAAATGGAATCCATACCATGATGCGTTTTAAAACCACCAGTAGCCCTTGGGCTGGCAAGAAGGCAGGAGTTTGTGTGACGACCACCCTGGCATGAGCAGCGGGGCTCACTCACCAGCCCTGAAGAGGTGAGCTTGGCCTCTGGCCTCCATGGACTTAGGAGACCAGGCAAGAACTCTGACAAAACTTTTGGGGCCATGATGTGATCGCAGCCCCAGAGGTGGCCTGCCTGCCCCAGGTCTAGGAATGGACTTCTTCAGAATTTACATAGGCACCTAGAATGAGGCTGATGAGAACATCGTGGCCATCAGACCTACTTGGGAGAAAACGCAGAGCTCCCAGCCTTCTGTGGAGGAAGCTGAGAAGCTGTGGCCTCAGGACTAAGGGCCCGGCCGGATGTTGCTGTACTGTTTCATTTAGCATAGAAGGAAAGAGAATTGGTGCTGCAGAAGTGTGTCCGCTACGAAGCCAATGAAAAGCCTCGTGTTAGTCTGACATGTACTCACTTACTCATCCATTTCTATAGGATGCACAATGCACGTGGGCCCTGATATTAAGGCCCAATCCCTGCAGAGGGAAAGGGGGAGGGGTTGCGCTTTGCTTCGTGTTTGTTTTCTTATAACTTAGCAAGGAGAGAGCCAGACCCTGGTCAGGGCTCCCTTTGCTGCCTTTGGCAGTTCTGTTTCTGTGCTGATTTGGACCATCTTTGTCTTGCCTTTTCATGGTGGTGGTCCCGTGCTGACCCTCATCTAGGCCTGGGCCCTCTGCCAGGTGCCCCTGTGGGATGGGAGGAGTGAGGCAGCGGGATTGAATTGATGGTTGTCTCTATGCATTCAGGCTGCCCTGATGGCTGTCTCCCTTCTTACTATTCCCTTGCTGCACGTCCATCTCTTTTCCTGTTTTTGAGATTGACCCAACTGCTTTGGCAAGAAGAGGTATCCTCTTTAAGAGGTCTCTTTACCGACCAACTGAAGTATAGACTTCCTGCTGGACAATCTGCATGGGCATCGCCCCCACCACCACCACCTGCATGAACCTAAAAGAGGTATCCAGAGCCAAGACTCCTACTTACATTCATTGTCCCTCTGTGCTCAAGGAGTTCCATTCCAGGAGGGAACAGTCTATACTCTAAGCAGATAGCAGACAAGATAATGGAGGAGCAATTGGTCATGACCTTGGCTTCCCCAAAACAACTGCAAACTTCTCTGCGCAAATATTTGCACTATTTGGGGGGGAAGGTGGGTAGACCCCAGCTGCCTGGACTACCTTCAGGAGGCAAAGCTACAGATTTTCTTTGGAGCCAGCTGAGAAGAGAGCAAACTCACAGGTGCTGGTGCTTGGATTTAGCCAGGCTCCTCTGAGCACCTCATGCATGCCCCAGTCCCTGGGCCCTGGCCTTTTCCTGCCCTGCAGCCTGCAGTACCAGCACGCAGACACCTTCACCACAGGGTTTGGTTTTGCTGGCTTGAAGACAAATGGTCTTAGAGTTCATTAAGACCCATAGCTTCATATGGCTGCTTCAGCCCCACTTCTTAGCATTCTTACTCTTCTGGGGCTAATGTCAGCATCTATAGTCAATAGACTGTTTAAAAAACAACACCTTTTAAACAGGAAATGGAAGGCATTTGATGCAGAATTTTTGCATGATGACATAGAAATAATTTAAAAATAGTGTTTGTTCTGAATGTTGGTAGACCCTTAATAGCTTTGTTACAATGAAACCTTGAACTGAAGATATTTAATAAAATAACCTTTAAACCATCCATTGTTGTTACTGCTGTTGGAGGCTTAGATTTTAGATTTTAGCAGCCTGAGTTACAAGGCTTCCGATGGAGATATGTACCTTCCCCCACTCCCTTTGGGCCCATTTTGGGATGATATTTCCTAAACTCATCATCCTCCACACAGTTCACCGGGCTGGAGGCGAGTTGGGGGTGGAGAGAAAGGAGTTAGGCCCTTGGGGGGTTAAGGGTCTCGCCCCGCCCTCGGGCCTGCATCAAGGTCCTCCCCTTCCCACCCTCTTCCAGCCCCCCTCCACCCATTAGTGGGTCGGGCCGAGCCGGCTCCCCCACAGTAGGGCTGAGTGGACCAGCCCGTACCCTAGGCCCGCCCCTTCTGGTGGGCCTAGGCGCCCGACGCTCCGCAGACTGTGCCAAGCTGCAGGGAGGAGGGGGTTCCCTTCTGCGGGTGGGGCTCGGAGCCCGCAGTCTCCGAGTCCGAGGCTCTGCTGATCGCTGTGGAGGGCCGTCCGGGTGCCCGGCCCATCAGCTGCCCGACTGCCCGGCCCAGAGGCGGCGGGAACCCTAGCGGACACCTCGAGCGGCAGCGTGCCGCCCCCCCCCAGGTGGCAGCGGTGGTTGGGCCCGGCTGCCGCGGAGCTTTCGCTCGGAGATGGCGGAGCCGCGACGCGGCCCGAGGCCCCGAAAGCAGGGAAGCGGGGCAGCCCCGGGACGCGGCGGAGCCCGGGGTCAACGGGGACGCCGCCCAGTCCGCCGGGTGAGCCACCCTTGAGGATACCACCCCACATGCGGTCGCCCGCAGTTCCTCCCCTCACAGACTTTCCCTCTGTTATCCCCATAACCACCCACGGGGTCGTCCCGGGCGGCCCCTCGAGTGGCCCCGCGCCCCTTCCCTCGTAGTGCCTTCGCTCCTTCAGCTCTACCTCTCAGTACGGGGCTCCTTTTCCCCTCGGGTTCTCCCCGCCCAGTCCTGTCTCGTTAGCCCGGATTCTTCTCTGCGCGCCCCTTGCCCCTTCCCCTTTAATGCTCCATATCCGGTGCTCTCCTCCTGTCCACCTGTGTCCCCATATGCCCCCCAGCAGGGTCCCTCCATCTGTGACCCGATGAGGTGCCAGCCCCCCCATGCCCATGCCTCCGCTCGGTACCCCTTCCTCCCACAGCTTCTGCTTGTCTTCCAGCGCGGGGGGGCGGGGGGGGGCACACCCCCGCCTTCCCCAGGCTCTGTCACTAGCGCTGTCCTCCAGCCCAGGCCTGGATGACCCTTTCGGTTTCTTCCTCAAAAACCTCCCACTGCTGCTCACACGTACAGCGCCTCCCTCACCCCGTGTTCCTACTTCCATATGCATCAGACTACACCACACCCTACCCCAGCGGCTCCCTCAGCATCCCTTCCCTAAACATCGCTGTTTCTTCTAGGTATGAAGGTAAAATGCAGTGGTTAAGAGCTCGGGCTATGGAGCTTGACAGGCCTGACTTTGAATCCCAGTTCCTCCACTGTCTGAGCTGTGTGATCCTGGGCAAGTTATTAAGCTTCTCTGACCCTCAAATTACTCATGTAAAATGGGGACAATAATAGTATCTACTTCTTAGGGCTGGTGTGACCATTAAATATATGGAAAGCTCCTAGAAGAATGTCTGGCAAAGAATAAACTCTCAATAAATGTTAACTATCTTATTATACTTAATTTGCCCCAAGTGTCTACTTCCCCACAGTGATTTCTTCTCCCTACTGTGTTTTCTCCAAGGAGTTTCCTCTAATTCTTAGGATTCACCCCTTTCCATCACCATTTAGATCCTCTCCCAGTGTTCTTTTTCATGTCAATGACTGGTAGTTTTACCCAGGCCAAAGCTGAACTATTCTTAAATCATCCCTCTCAGTCCTGGAAGACCCTGTCTCTCCTACTCACCCCTGAGATGTGTATGTCTGGGAGTTGAGAGGAGTTGCCAGACATGGCCTTACAAAGAGTAGCTAAGATGGGGAAAGCTACCATAAAGCTTCTAGAAGCAGTTGACCTATTTAAGAAAAAAGTCTCCAAAATTAGATATCCTTAAAACTGTCTCCCAATCACACTGACCTGCTCTTCTCTCTCTCTCTCTCTCTCTCTCTCGTATTGGTTGAATATGACTTAATTTCTTCTCTCATCTAGCCCCACTCAGTTTTCTCTGTTTTTGTAACAGAACTCAATCCCTCATGACTCTCCAGGCTAGCCAAGGACTTCTCCTGAGCTGTTAATAGATGAGAGTATAGTACCACCTAGGAAGGGTAAGCTAGGAAGAACTGGGATGGATGGGGAGAGAGACTCTGGACTCATCTCTCTGGCTTTTGTTAGGTCCCAGTGATGTGACCCACTATGGGGCTACATTTTTATCATCTCTCCTGACACTGGCACAGGTGAAGTGAAAGGCAGAGGATGAATAATTTTTCACAAGTAATAGAAAAGACAGTCCCCAATTTCTGCGTTTGGGAACTAATAGAATGATTAGCTAGCACCTTTTTTCTTTCCTCTTGAATTCCCCCCACCCACCCATAGTGTCCACCTGACTGTAAGTTTGTTAATGCTGTTAGCCTGTGGTATTGGGTTTGATTGATGAAGAAGATTAACAGGCTCATGAGTTTCCTCTTATCTGATATTTCGTTAGAGCATGGGACTTGTGGGGCTTTCTGTTTGTTCCCCACAAGAAGACCAGGTCTCCTGCTGACTGGCCAACTGCTTGGTCATGGGCTGGGAACTCCTTTCAGAGCAGGTTCATTTTCAGCTTCCTGGGCTGTTCGGCTTCTTATTGATGGGAGAGTTGTTCTTTCCAGCCCTTGAATATACTTTTCCAACTCGAGCCTAGCTCAGGGAGGAGGATTTAGACGGTTTTCTGAGAAGAGGAACAACCCCTGAGGCTGAAGTTTGAGACTCAGATTGTGTTGTTCTTCTACAGGACCTTTCTTTTTTTGGAGAACAAATCATCCTGTGAGCAGAAGGTAAGAGGATGGGGTGAAGAGGGTAATGGATTAATGACAGTTCCAAAGGGAGAAATAATCTATCAATTTCCCTGTTTTACAGATAGGAAGGATAGAGATTATGAACTTTGCTGACCTCTGATGTGAAGAGCTCAGACAGGACCAAGGGTGGAGCCTGACTGGATTTGCATCCTGAAGCTATGGGCCAGGGGGCCATGGTGACCTGATAAAAATGGACTCTGTCCAGTTGCCCCCTATTGCCCTTTCTACCTCCCCTACCCTACTCTAAGGGAATTTGTCTCAACCTCTTTGGGGAATTGACCCTAAGGGAATTCCTTTTCCCTATTTTCCTATCCTTCCACCCCCCCAGGAGAGCCCTAGCCTATAGAACTCCTACCTCCCTTCCCTTGAGGTAGTCCCCATTCCCTGCCTCCCCTCCCCCGCCATGCTCAAGCTGTGGAAGGTGGTACGCCCAGCTCGTCAGCTGGAACTGCATCGCCTCATACTGTTGCTAATCGCTTTCAGTCTGGGCTCCATGGGCTTTCTCGCTTACTACGTATCCACCAGCCCCAAAGCCAAGGAACCCTTGCCCTTACCCTTGGGAGACTGCAGCAGTAGCGGAGCAGCTGGCCCTGGCCCTGTACAGCCTCCAATCCCACCTCGGCCTCCCAGACCTCCAGAGACAGCTCGAACCGAACCTGTGGTCCTTGTGTTTGTGGAGAGTGCATACTCACAGCTGGGGCAGGAGATTGTGGCCATCTTGGAGTCTAGTCGTTTTCGTTATAGCACTGAGCTGGCACCTGGCCGAGGGGACATGCCCACACTGACTGATCATACCCGTGGCCGCTATGTCTTGGTCATTTATGAGAACCTGCTCAAGTATGTCAACCTGGATGCCTGGAGTCGGGAACTGCTAGACCGTTACTGTGTGGAATATGGTGTGGGCATCATTGGCTTTTTCCGAGCCCATGAGCATAGCCTACTGAGTGCCCAGCTCAAGGGCTTTCCTCTTTTTCTTTACTCAAACCTGGGGCTCCGGGACTACCAAGTGAATCCTTCTGCCCCGCTACTGCATTTCACACGCCCCAGCCGCCTAGAGCCTGGGCCATTGCCTGGTGATGACTGGACCATTTTTCAATCCAATCATAGCACATATGAACCAGTGCTTCTTGCCAGCCTTCAATCAGCTGAGCTCCCTGTGCCAGGACCCGTGCCTCGCCGGGCACGGTTTCCCACTGTGGTGCAAGACCTGGGGCTTCATGATGGCATCCAGCGGGTGCTCTTTGGCCACGGCCTTTCCTTCTGGCTCCACAAACTTATTTTTGTTGATGCCGTCGCGTACCTCACTGGCAAGCGCCTTTGCCTGGACCTTGAACGCTACATCTTGGTAGACATTGATGATATCTTTGTGGGCAAGGAAGGTACCCGCATGAAGGTGGCCGATGTTGAGGTCAGTCTTTTTCCTTAGGAATTGTTTCATGCTCTAACCTATGAGATTCCCTTCCTTGATTCTGAGTTTGCCATAGGTGTACTCTGCCCTTTCCAGGTAGGAAGAACACTACTCATTTTTCTCCTGTTCAGTCTGCTATCTCCTGATTTCTTGTGTTCCTGCTACTCTTCCCAGGCTCTGTTGACCACCCAGAACAAACTCAGGACCTTAGTCCCCAACTTCACCTTCAACTTGGGCTTCTCGGGCAAGTTCTACCATACCGGTGAGCTTATTCCCCTGCTCCTGCAGCATGTCAACTTAGTTTGATCTGTTTCTTCACTGTCCCATCTTCCTGGGTAGACAAGTCAGAGAAAAGGAACAAGATTTGTGGTCAGGATGCTGTGAGGAGCTAATAGTGGGTATGAATTTTGGTCGGCATGAGTGGCTGGAGGGTAAGGTGGCAGGAGGCAGATAGGCAGTCTTAGATGGGCAGATGTTGTCCCAGGGATGGAAGGTGGTCAGTGTTGTTACAGAACAGAGGAGGGCACAGGGGGTGACTGGCTGTGTTCAGTGGTCAGTGTGTGGTCATAGGGACAGAGGAGGAGGATGCAGGGGACGACATGCTGCTGAAGCACCGTGAAGAGTTCTGGTGGTTCCCGCACATGTGGAGCCACATGCAGCCACACCTGTTCCACAACCGCTCTGTGCTGGCCGACCAAATGAGGCTCAACAAACAGTTTGCTTTGGTGAGACCCTTGGATCTCTTCCCCATACTTTTCCCCAGAGATAATGCTTTCTTTTTAACCTTCCCCTCATTGGGCACCCTTTCCATTTTTCCTTCTGTGGAGGCATCCCCACCCTTTACCCTCTATTCCCCAAACCTCATCAGGTCCTGGTGAGAGTCTATGCCATTCCCAGGAGCACGGGATTCCCACGGACCTAGGATATGCTGTGGCTCCCCACCATTCGGGCGTGTACCCCGTCCACACGCAGCTCTATGAAGCCTGGAAATCTGTGTGGGGCATCCAGGTGACCAGCACTGAGGAGTATCCCCATCTCCGCCCCGCCCGCTACCGCCGTGGCTTCATTCACAATGGTATTATGGTAAGGGACTTCCAGTACAAACTTGAACTCCCACATTTTGACAGTCTCCAACCTTCATTGATCTATGTTCTGTCAACTGCCAGTCCAGTTCATCCACATAACGGGGTAGGAGAGTGAAAAGCTACAATGCACATAGCGAGAGTATTCTTGCTGTAACTGCAGACCGAATCCTCCACAAACCCAGGGAATCCTGTGCTTCCGGACCATCATTTTACCTTTCAAATCTCATCTATCCCTGTTTCTTCTTTTCCCTCCAGGTGCTGCCACGGCAGACATGCGGTCTCTTCACTCACACAATCTTCTATAATGAATATCCTGGAGGCTCTCATGAACTAGATCGGAGCATCCGAGGTGGAGAGCTCTTCCTGACAGTGCTGCTTAATCCAGTAAGGTGCCAATAGGAAGGGCTAGAAGGTTGTAGAGCCAAAGTATTTGCAGGCTGGGACCTTTGCTTACCAATCCTGATTCTGACGTGGGTAGGCTCTCCAACTCTGACATGCAGGCATCCCCTTGCAGATCAGCATATTTATGACCCATCTGTCCAACTATGGAAACGATCGACTGGGCCTGTACACCTTTGAGAGCCTGGTGCGCTTCCTCCAGTGCTGGACACGGCTGCGCCTACAGACCCTTCCTCCTGTCCCTCTTGCACGAAAGTACTTTGAACTCTTCCCTCAAGAGCGAAGCCCCCTTTGGCAGGTATGGGTAGAACTTGGGCTAACCAAAGACATGATGAGGGTGTGCACTGAAGAAAAGAGTAGGCCTTACCTGATTCTTGGCTTCACCTTCAGAATCCCTGTGATGACAAGAGACACAAAGATATCTGGTCCAAGGAGAAAACCTGTGATCGGCTCCCCAAGTTTCTCATTGTGGGACCCCAAAAGACAGGTGAATCATCCTTAGCCAATTTCTCTTGCCCTGCCTTAAACCTAAAGGATTCTTGGGCTAAGGAACTCCCTTCTCATACCCACCCCCCATTAATCCAGTCTCTTGAGACAGTGATTCGTAACCCTGGTTGTATATCAGAATCATTTATGAAATTTTTGTTTTAAAAGATCTACAAATGGCCCTGACTGGGTAGCACAGTTTGTTGGTGTATCATCCTGATACCCTAAGGGTGTGGATTCATTCCCCAGTCGGCACATACAAGAATCAAACAATGAGTGCATCAGTAAGTGGAACAACAAATCAGTTTCTCTCATTCTTTAAAATCAATCAATAAAAAATAAATAAATAAAAGAACCACAAGTGATTCCAATGCAACCAAGGCTGAGAACCAGTACTTCAGTCTTTCCTGTTATCTCAGAATTTCCTTCTCTTGCTGCAATTTGGCCAAAGGGGATTCTACTACCCAGAGTGGTTATTTCCTCACTGCCTTCAAGCTCATGTTGAGCTAGCTTCTCTCCTACAATGGCTGGACTTTCTTTTGTATTTAGGGACCACAGCTATTCACTTCTTCCTGAGCCTGCACCCAGCTGTGACCAGCAGCTTCCCTAGCCCAAGCACCTTTGAGGAAATTCAGTTCTTCAACGGCCCTAATTACCACAAGGGCATTGACTGGTGAGATTGGGACCCCTTACAATGCTTCTCAGAGGAACACTTCCTTCCCCCATGGTATCCTATTTCAGCTTCCAGTGCACAAACATCTGACCCCTTAATTTTGCCTCTTTTCTGTGCTACTTCCTAGGTACATGGATTTTTTCCCTGTCCCTTCCAATGCGAGCACTGACTTTCTATTTGAAAAAAGTGCCACCTACTTTGACTCAGAAGTTGTACCACGGCGGGGTGCTGCCCTCCTACCCCGAGCCAAGATCATCACTGTGCTCATCAACCCTGCTGACAGGGCCTACTCTTGGTACCAGGTGAGCCTGAAGCTAGGGACCCATTAGGGCTTAAAGGAGGGAGGTGATGACTGCTAGAGAGACAGAAAAGAATAGGGTAGGGAAATTAAACTGGTCCCTTGGGGAGGGGTGCCTATGCTATCTGATAAACAGACCAAGAGTAGGGCCAAATAATTCTATCAAGTCACCAATCTCTTCTCTTCCTTTCCTGTTTTTCAGCACCAGCGAGCACATGGAGACCCAGCTGCTCTGAACTATACCTTCTACCAAGTGATTTCAGCCTCTTCCCAGGCCCCTCTGGCACTTCGTTCCTTGCAAAACCGCTGTCTTGTCCCTGGCTACTATTCTACCCATCTGCAACGCTGGCTGACTTACTACCCTTCTGGACAGGTACAATCCCCCAATAGCCCTCACTGGGGTCCCCCTTACCCTCCTCTTTAGCCCAGAGGCTTCTAAGAAATACAGCAGTAACCACATCCCTGTCTCTAGTTGCTGATTATGGATGGGGAAGAGCTGCGTACTAACCCAGCTGCTTCAATGGAGAGCATCCAGAAGTTCCTGGGTATCACACCCTTTCTGAACTACACACGGACCCTCAGGTGGGAGAGCATGACCTAGGAGAGGAGTACCACGGGGAAAATGGGAAGCAGGTTGACCATGTCTGTCTGGAAGAGACACGAATTTACCGTCTCTCAAAGAGAGACATAGGTCCCTGTGGGCTGGGAGAGGTACTGCACATTTCTGGGGCTTGAATTCCTTTCTACCTGCCCCCTAAAGGTCTCTTCCTGTTGAGCAGGTTTGATGAAGGTAAGGGATTCTGGTGCCAGGGACTTGGAGGTGGTAAGACTCGCTGTCTAGGCAAGAGCAAAGGTCGGAGGTACCCAGATATGGACACTGAGGTATGTAAATTCTGGGGCAGGTTATCGCTCTCCACCTGTAAGACCTGATTCTGTGTCCCACTCCTTACTGTTTCTGCCTTAATTTTTCTCCTATCAGTCCCGCCTTTTCCTTACGGATTTTTTCCGGAACCACAACTTGGAGCTGTCAAAGCTCCTGAGCCGGCTTGGACAGCCAATGCCCTCATGGCTTCGGGAAGAACTGCAGCATTCCAGTCTGGGATGATGTCCCAGCCTCCATACCAGCAAAAAAAAAAAAAAAAAAAAAAAAAGCCCATTTCCCTAAGGGGCAAACCCAGAGCAGAGCCCACAAGGGGAATTTGAGTGGCCTAGCCCCTCCCCCTTCTACCTCAGTGGCCCCCCAGACTTGGAATGGCTGAGAAGGGAAAGTCATCTTTCCTGTTGCTCTGAGGTCTGATAAAGGGGCTTCCTTTCACATCCCACATTATGGTACTAGCCACCTTTGACCCATGGTCTTGGAAGGCGGGGAGGAATTAGAGGCAGGGTCTAGAGGAACATATTAATCAAATAATTTACCTCTTCGTCCCCAGAGTGTAGCTATATCTGGCTGTGGGAGGGACCCCTTACTGTGGGAAAAATGGGACCTACCTGTGGCCTGGCCTCCCTAATGTCATTCACATTGAATGCGGATGAGGTCCGACAGTGGCTCATAGAGCTGAGTATGAGCCCTAGCTGTGGGCTAGAAATGTCCTTAATAAACATCCTTATTTTTCTGTTTTGTCTACCTCACTGTAGTGGAAAAACCCTCTAATCAAGTATCAGACTTTTCCCCTGCCCCAGTTCAAGGTTCATAAGCTCACAGAGGGAAAGAAGGGAAAGGCCCAGGCAGATTAGAGTAAAAAAGGAGTTTATATATTTATAAATGCCAAATAAATACCAGAGGCCACCCAGCACCCCCTCCCAGATGGGGCAATTTCCCCCAACCCTAGGCTTCTAGGGTCTGAGACATCTTGGCCCCAAGCTACAGCCCAAAAGCAGCTGCCAGTCTGGGCTACCAGGGAACTGGGTGGGGATGAACTGTCCAGCCAAGCTCCCCCTGTGTGAAAGGCCCCTATAGCCACAGGCTTGTGTCCCTGTATAGGGCCCAAGGCAGGTCAGATTCAGGGAGAGAAGGTGGTCATCTCGAGTGAGACCCGTTGCCACAGCTCCTTGGTCTGTTTGCTGCGCTTGAGGTTCTGCAGGATGTCGTTGAACTGCATCATGCCCATGGGTGTCAGGCAGAAGGCGCTGCGGGCACTGCGGATCGCGTTCACAAAGTCGTCGTAGTCGGCAGGGGTCAGGTGAATCAAGCGATGGTGGATGTACTAGAAGAGGATGTGTGCAGGATGAGCTGCTAAACACAGAACCAGATCCCTCTGCCCTTGCACGCTGAGTGATCTGTTCCATGCCTGCCCAGGAGGTGTTCCACCCTGCTCCACGCTTCCTGGGTTGTCACCTGCATGTATGCCTGCTGGCAACGCTGCACCAGTTGGTGGAAGGCCGGGGCACGCAGGTGGTTGTGGGCATGAGCAGGGCTCAGCCGCTGCAGTGTCTCCATGACGATCTCCTGCAGCACAAACGGGCTCAGCACCCCCTTGGCTGCCCCCACACAGAACTGGTGCACGTAGTTCACTCCTGGGGGGCAGGGGGAGGGGCATGAGACGGGGGTGGCCACCTCTGCCCTAGGGACCCAACTTTTCTCAGCTCTGGCCTGGCAGTCTCCCTCCACCCCAGGAGCTGAGGTAGCCCCCCACCCCCCGCGCACGCACACATACCCGACCAAGGCCTCAACTCTGAGCAAGAGCTAGGAAGTAGGTCTGGGATAGGAAGGTGGGGGAAGCAGGTGGAGGTGGACAATGGTCCTAGGGAGGGGAGGTGTTACCCAGCTTTGCTGCCAGCCCCAGCAACCATTTGACATCATCAGTGTAGGGGGGGGAGCGGGAGAAGTTGTTGGGGTGATCATTATGTGCTCGGCGACCCAGCATTTCCAGTGCCAGCATTCCTGGGAGAGAAGAGTGGGCACATAGTGTCGATACATTCTCTCCACCCTTTACTCTGATCTGGTACCTGACCCACAGTAAACAAATTAAGAACTATGGGAAGTGGTTGTCACTGAGAAGCCCCTGGCACAGCTGGTGGGGGTACAGAAAGGGACCTCCTCTCACCAACACGGTAGGCGGCATGCAGGTGATGTAGGCTGTGTGGGTTGACAGGCTGACTGTGCGTCTCTTCCTCGGGTGGTGGAAAACCTCCGCTCACCAGGGGGCTGGGCTGTGTGGTCAGGGCAGGCAATGAGGCACCCTGGATGGCTGGAAATGTGGATGCTGGATGGACACTGCTCACTGAGGGATGAGAGCCACGTGAGGAACTCAGCCCAAAGAAGAGCAGAGGGAATTCCCTCCCTACCTCCCCTGCCCAGTGTACCTCCCCTCCATTCACCTGTTCCCTGTCCCCACAACTCACAGGCCACACTGGTGGGCAGTGGGAGCCCTGGCTCTGTGTGATAGGGATGTACTGTGATGGGAGCCATGGAAGGGACAGGGAAAGACACAGCAGTGGCAGCAAGTGAGGGGGGAGTCACTGAGTATGGATACTGAGCCCCCAGGAATGCAGGATGCACACCCTAGAGACAGAAAGAGGAAGAGAAGGAAGATACCAAAGTTATGTTAGGATGTAACTCCCCTTTCATCACACAACTGGGTATCCCTACATTTCTTAGTTGGGCTGGGTTCCCCAGACTCCCACCACCTCATCCAGGGTTCTGACAGCCTTATTCTCCCAGAATACCCCACTCCAGCCCCCCACAAACTTCTGATGTTCTCCCATATGCCCAACCCGCCCACCCCAACAGAACACTGGTCTCACCTGTGGGTATGCGGAGCTGGGCACAGGGAAGACGGCAGGCCGGGGCATATGAGGCATGGGGTGGGCGGGGTGAGCTGGGTGGGTGAGGTATTGAGGGCTGCAGGGCAGGTGGGGCTGTAGAGCAGTATAGGGGTGCAGGCCAGGGGAATGACCATGCCCCAGTCCTGGACCTGGATATAAACTGGACCCCACTGAGATGACTGGCACCACTGTGGCTGCTGCTGTCACTGCTGCCGCTGCCACTGTAACCGGCTCAGTCCCTGGGCCCCCCCTGCCCTCAGGCAGCCCCCGCCCAGCCTCCCCAGCTGCCCTGATCCCACTGGCACTACAGCTTGTAGCCCCTTCACGGGCTGTGGATGAGCCACCTGCTGTTTGCTCATATAGCCAGAACCACTGGTGTGCAACCTCAAACAACACTTCGGGGTATACACCCCCACCCTTAGCCGCCTCTTCCACTGCCATACAGGCCTTCTCCAACATCAGGTTATCCTGGAAGGGAGGAGGACAGAGGGTTAAGGGGGGAGGGCTTTACTCAGGGTAACATTACATCTCCAGAGTTGGCTGGTTCTCAGGGATGCACCAGAGGTCAGGGCCAATGCTCTGTCAGAGCAGTGAAAGCTTCACACAGACGCAACAAATACTTGACCATGGAAGTCAAGGCCCCAGTTACAGTCCCAGTTCCAAACTAATTTAGCCACTTGTTCCTACCCAAGCCCCATCATGTCCCCAAGGCCTTCCCTTGGCATTCCATTGTAGCGATCATGGCACCGAAACTATAGGCCTCTATTTCCTCTACTTGTAAAATAGGAACAATTGTAACCTCACAAATGTGAGGCAAAAGAAATAATGGCTGTGAAAGAACATTAGTATGTTGCTGGGAACCGCCCTACCTGATTTCAGAAGCTGTAACCCTCCCATGGCTAAGGCTGAGTAAAAAGACCTTGGAACCATAAGTCACTAAGGAGACAAAGCTTATCTCCCTGGCAGGGGCGCCGCCTCTGCCTCCTTTACTTCACCCTGCTTGGCCCCAGGTTGATGACTGGTTAGCCAATGACAGGTAAGATTTCTCAAGGGAGGGATGACCTAAGACAGGCATGGTCTCAAAGGGGCCTTCAGGGAAGGACTTAGGGGACTACAGAAAAGGGGTGATGGACAGTCCCCCCTTGGCTTTGTCATAGCCTCAGTCCTCATTCTATTTGTAGAAAGTCTCCTAATCTCTTGGCTGCCCGCATCCCCCACCTGACTTAAGCCTAAAACAATGCAGAGGTACGCGCAGCCCTGTGCTGGACAGGGTGGTTCCCTGGGGCCATCTGGCCTAAGAAAGAATTCAGAAAATCCTGTGAAACCTGTTTTGCTAAGAACGCCCTCAATTTAAATGATAAGGGTCCAAGCATAAAATGAGTTTGTTTCCCAAAGTTTCATGGCCCTTTGGCTATCTGACCCTGACTCAGAATAACCCTCAGTTCTTTTTAATGTTATGTATAGTTTGATCATTACTGCCTGACAATGATTGATGAGCTTTATGTATATGCCCTGTATTCCTGTGCAAATTAAACCCAATAAAAGCTCACTGAGGAACAGGCTCAAGGCCCTTCTCCTTTGAGAGACTGGCCACCTTTCCTCCCCAAGCAGATCATGTCTTATAGAATTATTCTCATCCATGACAGGCGGGGGGAGGAGGGGGAGCTCTGCTGGACAAAGCTCCACCACAGTACGCCAAGTGTCACCACTGAGGACAAACTGGCTAGTTTGTGAATTCCAGGATATGGAAATCAAGAGCTGGGCCATTAGCTTTCCCCATGCCCAAACTCCTTGCCCAGATGCCCCAGAGCAGGTCCCCAGATTGCCTGTAAAAATGCCTGCTCCTGCACTGGTTGGTGTAGCTCAGTGGATTGAGCACAGGCCTGCGAACCAAAAGATGGCGGTTCAATTCCCCATCAGGGCACATGCCTGGGTTGCAGGCCAGTTCCCAGCAGGGGCCAGTTCCCAGCAGGGGATGCACCAGAAGCAACCATACATTGATATTTCTTTCCTTCTCTCCTTCCCTTCCCTTCTAAAGATAAATTAAAAAAAAAAAAAATACCTGCTCTTTGCATTGGACCAGGGCCCTCTGGATCTCATTGGGGTTCAACGCATGGGCATGAGGCAGGCAGCTTAGGGCTAGCTCCGCAGCTGCCCTCACCATATTGGAGTCTCGTGCTCGTGATGCCCTGTCAGCCAGGGATGCAACCTCAGGGGGCGTCAGGTGTCCATCCCAGCATTCTACCAGTATAGTCAGTGCTGCACTGCCAATCTCCATCGCCTGGCCTTGGGGAAAGGAGAAGAAAGGCTGTGTCAGCATGAGCACCCCTGGGGAGTGGAAATTGGTGTCCCTCCTATCGGATCAGTAACTCTAAAGAGATAAAACTCTAATCTTCATCAATTAATCCCCTTCCTGTACCCAGATCAAAATACTGGATTTACCTGTAATCCAGGAAACGTGGGAAGAATAGGTACGTGAGAGCCAGTTGGGAGAAACAAAGTTGTGCAGGCCAAGGGCATAAAGCCCAATCTCGAAGGCGCAAAGGTGCAGGTTGCGGTGAGGACCCTGGTGGCCCCCTGAGGAAGATGGGTGTGTGAAAATGGAAGTGCTGCTGTTGCCCCCTGCCTTGATCAGCACCGTCTTCGCCAGCTCGAAGTAGAAGTGTGCAGCTGCCTCTGATGGCTGATTGGGTACGTGGGGAGCATGACTCTCGGGACGGCGGCCCTTGTACCTGAAGGGACAATGGGGTAGGGATGGGGATTGGGGTTTCTCTGAAATGGGTGTCCAGGTAGGTTGGGAAAGATCAGGGTAAATGAGGATGATTCGAGGACAGTATTCGGATTATAC